AGGATTTGAGACTGCGGTGGGGCAGAAAAGGCAGGTCAAGGATGTTACTTGCACGTGTAGCCTCTAAGAGCCAGCTGGTAGCAGTGATTTTCAACTTGAGCATCGGGTAGCTTTCACACTCTTGAGTTCTGGTTTGTGAAAATGTCATCTAGCTGTAAGTAGAAGCTGCAGCCACAGAATTGCAGCTGGAGCTGTCACAGTTGCTGTTGTTCTAGTTATGCCTTGGCATAACTAGAACAACAGAATGGAATAAAATAAAATCCTACCTAATCTGTCAGACTTTGGAAACTAATTTCCAGTCACTTCATGATCATTCTTATACTCTCTGTAGAGAATCATCTGTTGGCCTGATTTAAGAGAAAGTTATATTAGTGAGATAAGTTTATCCTTACCTCTCAAAAGGGAACAAATAAATCTGTTAATGGGTAGACTGGCTTTGACCTTTTCCTGCTGATTCTAATTACCGAAAACAAAAGTTTCTCAGTTTACTGCTTGGTTACTCATTAGCCTGAATAATGCAAAGTCCAATGCGTGCTGTCTCCATGTGTTACTTATATTTGCTGAGCTACCATGCTGGTCGTCTTTACGTTATTGCTTTATGCTAGTGAAGACCTAATGCAAGAGTAAATGATGTATCTACGATAATATCTAAGTGGAATAATTGTACAAGTTTTAATAATAACTGACATAACTGCTTCACACAGGCTTGCCTGACTTCTGAAGACTGATTTACCCTGCCCAACCTGCACAGCTGCCTCAGTGTCACTGCAGGGCAATAGAGGAGGAAACAAAAGTGAACAAGAGTTTCTATCTCATAGCCTCCACGGCTAAGGCTTAATAATAATTGCTGCCCTCCGAAGAATGCATAAGCTAGCATTAATGCTGATGGTAGCAGTAGTGAAGTGTAGTCACTGTTCAGCAGTTTGCTGAGCTTGATGTTATTTAGGGAGACTTTGCAGAGCTATGACTGCTTTTCTAGCTCAACTTCAAAAAGCACAGTATTTTTTTTTTTTTTGCTTGCTGCTATAGAGGAGCCCATCTCTGTCCCTGGTTTGTTTGGTTTTTTGGCTCCCAAAGTACCATTAATGTCAATGATCAAAGCAAGCACAGTGCTTTCTTGGTGTAGCTTTGTGTTTCTTATTGGGTGCGTCTAGCATTTCTGTGCTTCATGCCTACAGGCAAAGTCTGGGGCTTGCTGTGAGGGGTGCTGGTGTCTCGGGAAGCAGCCTCCTTTCTGCAGCTGGGGGACATCCACAAGTGCAGTAATGGCAATGCCAGAATGCTTTGGGAGGTGGAGGGTGACTGGCACTAACAGTTTTAAATTGTTCTGGGTGAAATAATTACTCCTTGATTATTCATTAGAAGGGAAACGTATTTCAGTGGATGCAAGACAAATGGCTGAAGCATAGATTTGTCCTGATGACATGGAAGCAGTGCTCCTGTCCCATGCTGCGCCCAGGTACACTCAGCTGTTGTTCCTCCTGTTGGGTGTGTCTGTGGATGTTTTGTTGTTGAGACCAAATGCATGGACAGAAATACAGGTCTCAGTTTGTTCTGCAGTGTGTGTCTGCAGGTTTCTTTTGTTCTTTGTTTATTTTATTGGGTTTTTCTAAATCTGTAGTAGCTTATTCTTAGCTGGGGAGAGGCTGCTGATGGTTTTTCTGGGTGATAACAAGAAAATGTGTGGCAAACTTACCTCACATGTTAGAATCTAGTTAACAGCATTTCACTAGGGCTCAAATGCACTCTGTGCATACCATCATTTGGGTATTTTTACTCAGCTGCCTAGCAGAGCCGCCAGGACCGCACCTTGACAACACTCTGAGCTCACTGTGTTGTCATTAGCAAATGAAACTCTTAAGTGCAAGCCGGGGCAACTGGTTGTTCTGCTCGGTGCTGTTTGCTGTTGGGAGGGTGATGGTGATGGTGTGGGGAGAAGACAATGAGAGGTCTGTCCTGTTGATGCTGTTAGGTTTGGGTTCTTGTTTGGCGGTTTGGCTTTTGTTGGGTTGTTTTGGGGTGGTTTTTTTTTTCTTTAATGCTTTTGTTTCTGCTTTTTCTCCTGCGGGCCAGCTCTTGTCAAATCACTGCTGTCACAAGGGAGAGGTGCTACTCTCCTGCTGTGGCCCACAGCTCATGCTGTGCTCTGCACCCTGTGCTGTGGGGAGGGGGCTTCCACGTGCTGGGAGAGCAGCAGTGCACCCCCCAACTGCTGCACAAGGAGGGGGAGAGGCAGCAGTAGCAGGGAAGGCTGCAACTGGAAACCCAGGTAATCTGTGTGAAAAATGACAGACTGCTTTGTGCTGAACTGCAAACCTATGTGAGCCAGGCCCTCTTTGGCAGGATGCTGCCTTACTTGGACACTGCCTGACACTCTTCAGATAGGAACTTTTTATGCATTATCTTACATTATGAACAACTGCTTGAGTAGGCAGATCAGTGTGGTTGCAGGTGTGACTCAATGTAACCTATTTTGTTATTATTGACAAATTCCAGGTGCTAACTGTTAAACTCCAGAGGAATTTGGAAGGTCAGACTACAGTGAACACTGCAGTTACCAAGTGTTTTGTCCCATGTCATAAAAAAACCCGAGTAATTTGCTACAGCAGAGAGTGATCAAAGTCCTCCCCAAGTAATGAATGTGAATTGCCTCAGCTTGCCTGTTCCCATAGTAATAAATTGGATCAACAGTGCTATCTGCATTAGAAACCTACATCTCCAGAGCTACCCCACAAACCTTTTGTAGTTCTCAACTCCTGCGTCAAGGCCCATGCAATCAGTGTTTACCCAGCAGTGCTGCCAGCCTTTGCTCCAGGAGCTGGGCCGGGGTGATATGATAAAGCACTCAGCCCTGGACAAAGCAGGATTTGTTGTCTGTTTGTGGCATGGGGCTGGCGTGGCAAGGGCAGGAGAAACGCTGGGTATGGTTCTTCTGTCCTGACCCCTGACATAAGAGCAAACTTGCGAGGTTATCTGGAACTGGCTGCATTTTGTTGATGGATATTTGTACAGTATGAAAACACTTGGTGACTGCATGAGCTGGAGGGCTTAGCCCACGTGCTGGTGTTGGGCTACAGCAGTTTCCTCCTGCAAGGCAAGCACAGGGCCATGCAGGGTAGGCAGCCAGGAGTGTGCAGTGCTGGAAAAAAGCAGAGCCTGAGCACTGACATGACATGCAGCCAGAGCAATCTATTCCTACAGGTTTACTCCTTCAGCCTTGCACGTCTGTTCTCCATTACTGCACTGGCCTTTTGGCCAGTCCACCTGCCTGCACCTGCCAGCTCTGCAGCACAGAGAGCCTTTCCCCAGGGAAATGCAGAGCGGTGAGGGAAGGTGTCACTTCAGGAGGCCAAAAAAACCTCCCACTCACTTTGAAAAATAGAGCTGCTTGTGTTAGTACCTGGAGCTTGTGCAGGCATGTGCAGTGGCACAGAGAAGCCAGGCTTTTCCGAGGGAGCTTGCTGGTTGAGCGATAACATCCTTGCTTGGTTGCCAAGTCTCACAGGAGGCTGAGTGGATGAGCTGAATCAGGTGGGTTGGTACAGGTAGTCCCATCCTCAAGCTGCCAAAAAGCAGTACAGTTATCTGGAAAGGGAGATTTATAATTTTGGTGGCAGGCCAGCTTCACTTTAGTTGAGGATTGGGGTTTGGGTTCTGTTTTGGTTTCATGTCTGGGGGTTATTTTTGTTTATTTTGGGGTTTGGGTTTTTTCCTGTGTGCTTTTATTTTTTTGGTGGGGTTTTTTTTTGCACAACACCTGTGCTATGGTGTCATTCAGTGTGGAGAGAAAACACAGGGTGCAGCAGAAAAGCATTGAAGTTGGCCAGGTCTTTCCAGGACAGACATGACTGTGTCTGTAGCTGTTGCAGATGCACCCACTAACCCCAGGGGTGGAGGTGGCTCGGTGCCTAACAGAGAGGTCCTGTATACAACTACCTGCCCTTCTGTTTTCAACCTCTGTTTTGAAGTGAAGATGACACTACATCTTAGAAACCATTAATTTTTACACCAAAAGAAACGCCAGCCCCTCAATCAGAGATGTGAGAAAACAACTTCACCGCAGGCCATCTCTTTGCTTTACCTGGCTGGAGGAGCTGCTCCTTGGGCACCATCTGCCCCCGCATCCAGTGCACAAGGCATGTGCCCTCATAACACATCAACCCCAAAGGCTTCCTTCAGCAGCTGTGCACATCTGGCAGCACAGGGAGCAGGGCACTGGCTCTGGCAGCCACATGAGGCCTTGCACAGTGTCTGCAGACAAAAAACAACTGTGGCCATGGGGTCTGCCCTGGGTTGGAGGAGGGTGTATGTGGGGGTAAGAATTGCCCTCACCAGCCTCTGGAGTGGGATGAGCTGGTGCAGAATGGACAGGGACAGACAGAACAGTTACAGGGACTATGGCAACTCCAACCTTCCCCTCTTTGCTCTAGGATTCTCTGGTTTACAGCAGACATCGAGCAAATATTTTTTCGTTGAGCTCAGTTTGTCCCCATGGTGGGGGTGGAAGGACACCTAGGTGATGTGGTGAGGGCATGCACTGCAGCGCAGTCCCATTATGCCATTCTAGAGGCAGGTCCCAGCTGCCTTGCACTGGGGACCAGCTTCGGTCTGTGGTTTGGCTGTGCCCACCCTTGCTGGGTGCCAGCAGCCAGGCAGCACGCTGGACTAGTTTGGCTCAATTTTGTAATGCCCACCCACTGTTCTCCAGGGTAAAGAGCCATGCGCTGGGCACCTCTGCTGCTGCCCTGGGAACCCCAGTCCAGTGCAGAGGGATACTGGGAGAAAGCAGACACATCTGCCTCGTGGATTCACTCTTTTATTGAATGCAGACAGAAGGCAAATAACTGGGACACAGACCAGTTGTAATCTGACTTTGGCTTCTGATTTTTCCTGTACAACTGACAGCACAAAGGATGGGAAAAAATAATTCTGTGTTTTAAAAAAAAAAGAGAAAAAACCCATCACAAAAAAAAACAGTGAAAGAGGAGACAAAAATAATGTAGTGACATCTCATGTGAACAGATGGAGGATTAATAATGGCAAGGAGGTTCAAAGCCATGTCTAGCATTCCTTATTGCAAACACGATTCAGCCAGGGAGACAGGGACGATGCTTTCCAAGGAAAAGCAGCTGAGGAGAAACCATCCACACTGGCTTTGTGAGCAGCAGGCTTTACTTCGGGAAGACGGTGACCACCTCATAGCCTTCCGGGGGAATCACCCGCTCCCGGGCATGCTTCTCGCAGTAGATTTGGTCTTCCACAAAGAAGTGTCCTTTCTGCTTGAGGTTGGTGCCGCAGTCACTGCACACGTAGCACTCGGGGTGACGCTGCTTGTCCCGGATCTTCACAAACACCCCTCTGGGGAATGAACGAGCACCTCTCAGTGCCAGATGCCCACCACTGCCTCCCTCCTTCCCAGCCACCTCCCACCCAGGCCAGACCCACACCAGTGCTGAAGGTGAATAATTTTTCTCCTGTGCCTGGTAAGTCAAAGTATAGGGCCTACCTCTTGTCAGGCAGCACTTTTAGCTCAAAATGTGCTGGCATGGGAGCCCTTCTCTGGGAAGTGTTTGCTAGCACTGGCCTGCTTTAAGTTTTACAGGGACAGTCCTATCACCTGTGGTGCCAAAATCACTGTGATGACATCTTTAGCTGATGGCTGGAGACAACGCAACAGCTTTCAAATGCCCAGGATCAACTGGCAGGCAACAGCTTGGCCATCTGGAGGAGCTAAATCCAGCTCCAAAACAGCCAGACTGCAAAACAAATCCAGAACTGACTGCCCACCACTAGCTGAGGAGGATGGAGGCTTTACAGCCACTGCGCTTTTGCTAGGGACCGACATGCCAGCTACGTGTGGGAGAAGCACAGAGACCAATTCCTGGTTCTGATCTCTGACGCTGCTACTTGGAAGCTGCAAGTGAACGGATTCACCCAAATGTGGGTCAGCTCTTCCTAGAAAACTTCACGGTTTAGCACAGCAGATGATGAGGAAAACTACAGAGCAACCTGTAAACTACCACCAGCAGCAACACAACAATTTGCCAGGACTATCATTTTGTTCCAGTGGCCATCTATATTTTCCATAATTCATTAGTTTTTAGTGCTATTTATGGCCTTGTGCCTTCTCTTCAGATCTACTGAGCTGGTAGGCTAATGGTAGGATTTGTCTCTGATTCGTATTTTACAGGCTAGGGAGGGCCTCTGTAATGACTCTGCTGGTTCTTGGAGCTCCAGGCATGTCAGGACCATGCATCACTGTGCAGTGGGTCTCAGCAATAAATTGATAGCTTGTGGTGGGCAGCATGGGAGGAAAGTGAATTCTTTCATGATGATGCAAGTGGGCTACCAGCACTTGACTGGTGGCATCAACTGTTTAGCTAAGGAGGTTGTAGGGAAGAATTTGTGGTTGAGCAACTGAACAGCAAATTGAAGGCATGGGTTGGGTTCCCTCGTGCTGTCATGCTATGGTGCAGCAGCTCTGTATTGAACCCCCGTGCCTGCTGTCCTGAAGTCAGACATGCCCACATAAAGACAAGAAAAATGATATCTGTGTAGACACAGTGAAGGTGTACGGTCTTAACAGCAGAGCAGGGAGCAGATCACAGCTCTCCTGGCCCATATTGCCTTTGACCATCAAGGCAAGTCACTACTCCATGTCTGGGAGCACCAAGACATGACAAGCACTAAATATATAGGCCCTGAATGGAAAGGTAATTTTGTTTCTGGGTGCTGTAACAAGTTTTCAGGCTGGACGCGAAACACTGCAGCAACAACCATCTCGATGTTTGTCACATCGGGACTTGCTTTGGTTTCCACTGATGTGGATCTCAGCGGGAAATTCAACACTTGTGTCACTGTGGGGAGCTGCAAAGTTAGTGCTGTTAAAGCTGGTGAGACTAAATGTGCCTTGAGCCTGCTCCTGGTTGCACTGGATGTGGGTAGGTGAAATGTTTCAGGTGCAGTGCCTCAGGCCGTCACACAGACGTGGGATGCCTGGCCTGCAAACCCAGGGACAGGCTTACTTACACAATGCCAGATCCACACTTGTCACACATGGGCAGCTTCTGGGCATTTCCAATCGATGAGGCCACCTTTGTGGTGGGAGCTTTGACGCTCCTAAATCCAGATGGTTTGGTAGGGTCTCCTGGGGGTGGAAGGAAAGTGCTTCAGAGCATGTGAGTTGTGTGGCTCTAGGCTATTCCTCCCCAGTAGATGCTTTGCTAGAGAGGCGTGATGGTCTTTAACCCCAGCTCTGAGGCAGGAATTCATGCACAGAAAGTGGGCAGGGATTTAGAGGTGTGTGGGGAAGAGAGAAGGAACACAGCTGAACCTGGCCCTGGAAAGTCGAGGCCCTGAGATTGTGGGCAGTCAGATGAGAGTCTCGTGTCACCTTGAAAGCCCATCAGAATTCAGCTGATGTGTCTCACACGCATAGGTACACAAAGCAAAGCGAAGCCTCAGCCCCAACCTTGGCAGCACCAGAACCTGCTTGCTGTGTTCTGATTACAAACCCAGGGTCAAGCTGATTGCCAGATCTGGGCTCAGAAAGAGGAGGTGAGTGTGCTGGCAGAGTCAGAAGGACTGTCAAATCCTTTTCAAGTCTGGTATATGATGGGGCTGACTCCTGCAAGACTCCTGGAAGATTTGGTTAATGAACTCCTTTTCCTTGCAAGGCCCTGGGACATTCGAGTTAACCTTGTGCTCTCCTGCAGCTGTGTAACATGCTCCAGGTAACTCCCTAGTGCAACCTCTCTAGGGCAAGGATGTCCTGCAGGTCCTTCACAAGCGGTATCTGCTGACCTGGATGCCTACAACAGTAGTGGATCCTACATGTGGGACACAAGGCAAGCCTTTAAATACTGCAGTGAAAAAGGAACCTCTTGCAAAACAACAAGATTGATGTGACCAGTCTTATCTATATGACTTTTGCAAGAAGCTCAACACCAGGCAACAAGGGAAGGAGGGCTGTAGAAACTCCCATGATGTTTCACCAGAAACGGAGGGAGGCACCTCAGACAGAGGGAAACCGATAAAACCCTTCTGACTAGTGTCAGAAGAGCACACTGCAATGGTTTAAAAAAAACCAACACCTTCTAAAAGCACACTCTGGTCACCAGCAAGGTCAGGGACACATCACAGCCCGGGCAGCATCACTGAGGGGCTGAAGGAAAAATGGGGGAACTGCCCACTGCACCTCCCTGTGACCACTGCTCACCCTTGGGGCAGGTGACGCCGTGCTGCTTTGCCTCTGGAGCAGCCCTCAGCAAGGAGGTTTGCACCCAGTTCTGTGCAGAGATGCTGATCCAGAGGCACAAGTTCCTTAAAGGGGGCTACAGCCCATACACCCTCCAGACACAGCAGGAAGCAGCTGGCCCGCAACAGAGTTACTGCAAGCGATCCTCGCTGGCACGGAAGCAGCAGGAACCACATTTTTCAGGCTCTTACCTAGCACTTCTGCTCACTCCCTCTGCCTCAAAGAGCACTTGGCTCAGATCAAAAACTTTGACAGCATCAAAAACTGTGACAGCACGTTTTTAAATCTCTCTAAAGGCATCGGTCTAATCTAATACTCACAGGAAACAACTTGTTCGGCCCTGTGAAACAACCTCCACCTCTGAGTGCAGGGTCAGCTCCAAACCCAGACCAGTCACGGTGCTTCCACACACCAGTGCCCCCACACAGCCCCCTGTCTAAGGCCAGGGTCTCAGCTGGTTGAAGTCAGCTCAGTCAGTGATGCCCGGGGGGACTTGTCTCAGCTGAGGAGATAGTTCCCTACTGCTACTCACCAGCCATGGCTTCAAGACAGGCTGGGAGAATTGACCAACGAGTGTGTTATTTATCCCCTCGGACATGATCTGACTCAGCAGCAGTGGTGTTTGAGCCTGGCTGAGCAGCTCGGCAGGCAGGGGCACTGTCTCCTCAGGGACAGACATTCCTTTTGGGCTGCGTAACCTCCTGGCCCTGCTCTGCATGGGTGATTATCAGCCCACAGTGGAGTAACGCCAAAGCCTATCCCGGCCTGTGATCGGGCAGGCAAACCTTGTGCCAGAGAATCCCAATAATGCTGCAAATCTTCAAAGAAAGATAAAACAGAGAGGCGTTTGCTTCTTATCTTCTTCAGCACTACTAAGCACAGGGGAGGACCTCGGCTGTGTGAGAAGTCCCGGCTACTCCAGTCCCTTCCATGCAGGAGCTGAACCCTGAGGGCAAATTGCCAACACTCAATGTTTAAAAGATGCTTTGAAGTAGATATTTTAAGAGCATTTAAAAACTCCAAGATGCCAGTTTCTTTCTTCCTATTGTTTCCTTATTTCCTTCATTTTGCTGTTTCCTTACAGATCCCTCAGACCTACCAGCACTTGGCTGATCTGTTTCCCTTTGTGATGAATATCTATTTCAGCAATGGGCTTTTGTTGGATGACATTGAAGATACCTCTGCAAGGCTACTAACACAAAAGACAAGGTCTCAACTGGCCTAAGGCTTAAAAAAAAAAAAAAGCAATTCTTGGAATTCTTCTCCTATTTATTTGTTTATTTTATTTTATTCAAGTGGAGAAGAAAGTATAATTTGATTCCTCCACCTAAGTTAATTGGCTTTTTTAACCTTAAAGTCCTAAACTACCTAAAGCCCTAAACTGCACAAGTCCAGATGTCAGATCAAGAATGTCAAGCAGAGCAAAGTTTTAGAGGTTAAAAGCTAAGAACTGCTCAGTATAACCTAGCCTCCATATTTTTACATTCAGCTTCAGAAGTGGATCCTTTTTCTTGTGTAGAGGGATGGAGATGAGAAGCTTTAAAACTCAGTGAAGAGCACTACCTTGTGGTACCTTTCAAGGTACCTAAGAAGCAATCAAAGATGGTGTCTAATCAGTGAGTGTTATCTTAAAGGGGCAAAAATTAGAAAAGTATAGAAGAATCTTCACAACTTTTTAAATTCCTTCTTTACAACTAAATGTAAGGGGTTAATTCTTCAGCACTCAATGAATAAGCAATGATACGGGTTCACAGACACTGAAACTAATCAACAAGAGAGTATTTAGGAGTAAAGTTACTGAAAGAGTCTGTAGGTTTCTGTAGAAACCACCTACACATGCTACCTTGAACAATCAACAGCTAAAAAAGGAAAATAAAGTTTTTAGACATTACTCTTAAATACTGTACACAGCCCCAGGAATGGCAGAAAGAGTACACTCGGAGTAGGTACGCACTAAGTGCTCACCTTTCTCTTCTGACTCCAAAATCTCTTGCAACACAAGGAATGAAGCAGACTGCCTGGGTGGCTCATTTGACTCTTGATTCTCCTGGAGCATCTTGTAAACCTCAGATTGTCTGTCTATGACAATGCCACCTGGAGGCTGGTTCTGCTGATCTAAACTGAGGAAGGAACAGAGAACAGAGAACACACTTGTTAAACAGCTGAAAACTAAAGCAGTCCCTCTAGCAAAATTTTCACAGCGCATGAAGGGTGACTGTGCAAAAGACTGAAGAATGAGTGTGCAAAACAAACGCACAACAGGACGCCATAAAACACGGAGGTGCTGGATGCGCTCACACACGACAGCTGCAGCCCAGGTGCAATCGGCACACCGGGCTGTCCGCATATGCCACTGCCCATGGGCTCTGCCGACTGCCCCCGGCCAGTCCTCAAGTGTTCCCCCTGCTTTGCTATTATTATATACTCCAGGAGTGAAAACTTTCTGCCCGGGAAATCACTGCTCTGTTAACAGGAAAGTAAAGAACTCACGTGCTGGGATGGGAATCCCACATGGCATCTGTAGGATCTATGCATGCGCCTTTCATGCATAAACTACCTCAGACTGCCACCTCACACCACTGTGAATCTCATAGTAAGTAAAGCTTATTCCATTAAAACAAATCTTTGCAAGTACACTGTGAACTGGTTGTAAAGGCCACCTTCACAAAGTAACAGCTGTAGGATCTAACTGAAAAGAAGAACTTCTGATTGGCAATAATTTTAGTTTTTTCAAGTGAGTGTTATTATTTCTATTTTACAGATGTAGACTCTGAGTCACAGCCTATTTACATTATTTGACTAGGGTTAACAAGCAGACCAAGGACAGAGGAGGTTCTGGCTGCTAAGACTAAGCCTACCTTTCAGCTGTCTCCCGAGGGGTTGCTGCTGCCACTCATCCCACCAGGGACTTGCATCCTCAGCCTAGAGCCCGAGCTGCTTCAGGGGCAGCTTCTCACAGTGCAGGCTGGCTGAAAGGGTGGTCACTGTGCCACCAAAAGGGTGTTTAGGGAAAAAAAAAAAAAAGAGACTGGAGGCAGTACCTAGGATGTTCTCCATATCTAGTAGGTACAGGATAAACTACAGGCTTAAAACTGCAGGAAGATATTCAGGATTTCCAACAAATGAAAATACCAGAGGACATTGCTGTGGACAGGTAAGCAACCTCCATACTAAAGGATTTTAAAAGAGTGGACAAATATCCACTGGGATTGATTTAAATCAATGGTTTAAATTTACAAAATGCTGGGCTAGGGAATGGGCTAAATAAGAGGTTCTTGCCTGCCTTGTATTCTATGGCTGGAATAAAATACCTCTGGAAAAACGAGACAACTGCCAAGTCTCCTCCGACAGCTCAGTTACATAATGCATCCTTATAAATGTAAATGGTCCATTAGGTTTCACCATCCCTGCACCCTGTGATTGCCTGAAAAAATATATAAACCTCCTGAAGCTCAGACTAAATTGCAGAGCAAAATCTTTTTCTTTATGAGGCAAGTACATACTTTCCATGCCAATCTGCAATTGAGTCATCTGGGAGTTACTCTACATAATAAACTCTTCAAGCATCAGAGGTAAAATCATTGCACGTGTTATAAATTGCTATTTCCATAAAAAGAATTCCATAAAATGTTTCCATCTTTAGTAATTTTCAGTGGAGCAAGAAGCACAGTAGACTTGCAAGCAGCTGAACTCTTGAAGTCTGAATCTCATTTACTGAAGACTCTCATCCAAAACAAAACAACGATATGCCTTCTACTCCACAGATAATGTTCTAGGTTATCTCACATGAATCCATGTTCTTATATAAACTCATATACTCCCACCAATCTATCCACCCACAAAAACATTAGTCAAGAAGCCTGTCATTGCAGTTTGCATACTAAGAATGTTTCACTGACATGCATTCAAAAAAGCAAAGGCTAAATCATAGTAAAGAGCACTAGAGTCAAACAAAGCCATCACATTTCAACCATGCATTGTACCAGTGTGCAAAACATACAGATCAGCTCTCTCAGCTATGCACCCTACAGATATACTTGCAAATACAATATTTTCAAAAGACTATAAAAAAACCCCCACCCAAATCCTAGAATTTGTACCAGCAGAGTGAAATACCTCAACCTGCCAGGGCAAAGAGCTGTGCTGCTTAAAGGAAAAAACAATACGAAAAAGCACAAGACCACAGACAAGGCCACACGCACAGGAATTGTGCCTGTGGGCAATGAGGCTCCACATGTCGGCTGATTTACAGCACCTCCTGTCACACAGGTACTTTATCTGCAGCAGTTGCCAGCAACTGGTCTCCTTTTCCATGCGCAGGAGTTCCCTGGTGCAGAAACTCTGTAGGGGACGACTCCAACTATCTTCCCTGCATTTCAGATTTGCACAACCATTACTCAATCTCACCGCTTCTACCACAGGCAACTTGCGGTGCTGATTGAGTAACACTGGATCACTGAGCTTTGAAAACTGGCAAGAAGATGGTAATAAAAACTATAAAGGCACGGCGTCTTCAGGAAAAGTACATCTTAATCTTCACTAATGTCATTTTACTATTTTATGCTCCTGCTTTTCATAAAGTTTACCAGGATCTCAAAACTGGGCCACAGGGAGACCTGGTATTCGGGGCACTAATTTTTGCAGTGGGACAATTGCTGATGCCTGGGGCTCCTTTGTGAGCGTTATCAGCTGCCCAGACCAGCACGGCCAGCCAGCAGAGTGTTACCACTCCTGGCACGCACAGTACAAGCCAGAGCAGTGACTGACAGCAAATAACTGAGCTGGGTAACAAAGCAGCAGTAAATCCAGCGCCTCATGTTATCTCTTGGCTGGTGGCACATGGCAAACCTCGACTGTGTGGGTCTGTGGGTGGGAACACCAACTTTTCCGCTTTGAAACACATGGTGCTCAGCTCAGGAGGGGGCTGTGAGCAGCCAGGGAGCAATGAGATTTGGCTGTGCCCTTTCGCGCTGTCCCATGAAGGCCATGGGACTGACTGCCTCCCTGGACCACAGGTCACACAGAATCATAGAATAGTATCAGCTGGAAAAGACCTTGAAGATCGTGGAGTCCAGCCATTGTGCCAGCCCTATCAACCTACTAAATTATGTCCCCCAATGCAATACCCACCTCTTAACCACTTCCAGGGACGATGAGTCAACCGCCTCGCTGGGCAGCCTGTTCCAATGCCTGACAACCCTTTCAGTAAAGAAATTCTTCCTAATATCTAACCTGAGCCTGCCCTGGCACAATTTAAATCCACAGCTGCAAGATGCTTGGTCACATAGCGGGGTAACTTTGCTGAGTGTTCAGAACTTCTGAAACAAGTCAGCCTTGTCTGGAGCGCTCCTGAGAGACGGCTAAATACGCTTTATGCTTCACCTGTTTCAATACTGAAATCCTCCCTGTAGAATCCTGTGGGCTGTCATTTAGAGGGATGGGCCAGCTGGTTTCCAACTCTCAGAAAGAGCAAATACCAAAGAGCAACCAAGCCTTTTGATTCTGAAGCTCTCCACAGAACCTGCATACCTCAGAGCATGATGAGCATCCTCTGCTTCTCTGGGCAGAGAGGCAGCCCCAAGAGCAGCAACCTGTGCAGACAAGTGGGCAGGGGTAAGAACACAGACTGGATCCTCTGTGTGCTTGGTGCCTGCCCAGGCTGCTCCAAACTCATGAGTGTTATCAGCCAAAGATGGAGACCCATGATGTCTGCTTCAGCCTGAAATGAGGCACACCTAGCACACGCCCATGGCCCAGCCCACAGCTAACGAAACAAAAGCACAAGAACACGTGCGGGAGCACCTTCCAGTCACCAAAAATGACAATTGTTTCAGTGCAGGAGAAATACGAGCTTTCAAGATAAATCACTCTCCTGCCCCCAGCAAATCCATCTGCTGCAGGTGGCTTTTCCAGGAAAGCGTGGGCTACACAGGGGGCAATGGACACCCTGATGGGCTGAGATCATGTTTTGGTGCTTCCCACGGTGTTGCACACAGACACAATGCAGAGAAAGCTCCTGTGAAGAGTCATGCACTAATGTTGGAAACACCGTTTCCTTGTGACCGGCCAATGCCACAGACAGGGATGAGGCACTCGTGGACACCAAGATGCGGATGGACGGATGTGCTGAGCTGGCCGCAGAGGCAGCGGGCAGATTACCTGGGGAAAGCAGGGCTAACAGATGAGATCTGCCCCTGCAGGGAATCCATGATGTTGCTCTGCGAATAGAGCTGTAGGGGAGAATTGAACTGTACATGCAGCACTTTGAGTCCTGGCACCTCCACTTCCACGGGGCTGTTGGGGCAGACTTGGGCCACGCGCTTCAGCTGCTCGGGCCCCACTCGCACTTGGCTGGGGCTGGAGGAGGTGCTGGGCCTCCGCTGTGGCGGCTCCGAGGTTTGCGCCTGCAGAGGGTTATAGACGGAGGCAAGGGGAGCCTGCATGGCGCCTGTCGGCGACCGGCAGCTATGGGCCCACGCAAAAAAAAGGGCAGTTTGAGTTGTGTTGGTTTGGCGGTTTGTTTGGGTTTTACATCATGGAATTGAAAGGAAAATGCAGAGGAGGAAGAAAGGAAAGAAGGAATAAATTAATGCAGGACTAAAACAAATACTCCAAGCGATACAAGCAGTTGCAGAGTCCTGTCTGAAGGACACACTCTTGAATACACAACTTCACATTAACGGTTTCTGGCTAATGCTGTGGCTCTGGTCTTGCACTTCAGGTGCGTCCACACAAAAACTAAAATGCAGTCGCTCTGCTGGTGAGCAAATGCAGGGGTCGTAAAAACAATGAAGACATGGCAGCAGGGGTTTCACTTTGAAATAGCTACAGGAGCACACATTCATGGTCCCAGCTGTCCAGCCAAGGAATGCCACCTTCCCTGCTGCCCTTCCCAAGGCTAACCTGGGTGCCTTACTGAGAGGCACTGTCACCTCCAACCCCAAAAGAGATGTGCTCAGCATGGGGGCTTCTCCCCGCCCTCCCCACCTGCTTTGCAGCACCAAATCTAGTGGAGATGTTTGTTGCTGTTTCTGCCTGTACCACAGCCCTGCATTTACATCACCCACCCTCTAAGGATGGAGCATGGAACGAGGTCCCCGTGTCATGTCACCCTGTGCAATGACAGGTTGATCCTGGGCACACTCCTGGGGTGATCATGGTTGTGTGTCTCCTGGTTGCAGGATGGGGATGCAGATAAATGCCAGGTAAACCCAGAGGAAGGTCAGCCAAGTACAAGTAACTCAGCAAAACTGACCACCAGGAATTTAAAGGCAGCTAGAAGACTGTGAAAGGACACCCTGCACATCCTGTCCTTGTACACTGGGGAGACCACGGTGGGTTTTTAATGGCAGGTTGAGGCCCTTGGATTTCACTGAAAACCAGCAGCAACTCATTTGGCTTTGATGACTCTATAAACAAAAGTGTATTGACATTGAAGGTCTCATCCACAGTCCCCCCAGCAGTACTTTGCAACTTGCTATGTTTCAGCAAGGGAAAGATTAAAGAGATGCCTGTACTCCACAAGCAGCATGGCAGGCAACAGACCTTCCTGCTGGTAAAGGAGCACAGTGAGCCACAACACTAGAAGAAACTCATCTCTTTGCTGAGCCCTCAAGAAAAAGGGATCACCCACAAATTCCCAGCCAAATATACCTGGCTTCCAGAGAGGGCTCTCACTTGGAGAAGACTCTAGACTAGACCCGAGGTAGTATATGACCACCACATGGTCCCGTCAGGCTAATGCAAAGTCAGATTTCCCTTGTCCCTCCTCTGCTTTTGCTCAGCCCCTGAATGAGGCTACTGAGGTCCACCAGAAGCAAATGAACAAACATCTGTCACCTTGTCTGCCAGCTGCAGCACCATAACTCTGATTAGAATGGCCCACGCTGCAGACAGTGCTGCCAGTGCAAGAAGTCAGTTTCAGTCAGGGCTAAGTTTTCAGGCTTGTGTTAAACCACAATCTCAGGCCTTTGTGCCCTGCAAAAGCAGAGGCTGAAGTTACTTTTGTCTCCACACTCACAAGTCAGGAAATCAGTCGAGTATTACCTAAAGCATTGGCCTTGAAGCTTTTGTTGTAAAAATGGCCAAAGTCTTCCAGGCAGTTTGATACTACTATACAGAGGGCAGTTAAGCAACTTGACCAACGCAGCCAGAACGATTTCAGATAGCTTCTGGTTTATTGCTTCCAATGAAAAAAGAGGACCTTTGGACTGCTGGGAGAAAGTAATACCTTTGGTGGGGTTCAGATGCAAAAACAAAAATTCAACAGGCCTTTTTACGGTTGGGATACTTTCGAACCCCATATGTAAAACCGCTCACACATGTATGAATGCTTCAGCTACTTTTTAAATCTCCTGTGAAAAACAAGGTTCAGTAACAAAAAACAGATAGATCTAAACTTATGCAGAGCCTGTCTATGAATCCCAGGCCAGACAGGAATAGGGATGTGTGTGCTTCCTGCCCTAGCCGGTATTCTTCCTGCCCAGCATTGCCCGCAAAGCCAGCACAAAACGCTAACTTTACAAAGTGCTCGTAACAAGCTATCAGGCACCTGTTCAGACCAGTAGGCTGGTATGTCATGCTGAATGCACATGGAAACTGCGTCGGTCTCTGCTGAACAAAGAAACACAACAGCATTAATTTCATTTCTGCACCTCGTCAAACGCTCCCCGTTCCTCCGAGCCCTGCCCCTGGGAATCACAGCCACGCTCGAGCTTCCGATTCTTCCCTTGTCCTGCAAGAGAGCTCTTCCAGGTTAACAAATCGGTACCCTCTCAGAGAATTCACGCCTCCTGGAGCCTTCCCCTGGGAGCCCAGGCAGGGAGGGCAGGCAAGGAAGATACTTACGGCTTGGCAGGCTCCTGAGCCCCAAGTGACGTCTTTGACTCCACCGCACTGTTGAAGGTCTGGATGTTCTCTGAGGAGTAGAGGCCTGCTGGGTTGTTGTACTGAGCAGTGATCACTCTGGGGGCAGAAGCCGTGGCAGCAGTGAAGGGCACCGCGCTCCGGTTGTGTGCACTTCCTATATGCCTTATTTCCTGCATGCAAAGGAGCAGAGGCAAAAATCAGAGGTGCTCAGGCAGGCAGGTGGGAGGTGGATGGGCAGCCCAGAGCGAGCAGCCACAGCAGTGGTGGCCTTTGCTCATGGTGTCAGGTGAGGAGCATGTGACCATGACCACCAAAGCAGGGGAGCATCCTCCATATGTCACAAGGGCCCCCAGCCCCATCCTAGATGGCTTCAGGCTGACATTCAGGACATTTCAGAGTTTCTGATGAGCTCAGAAACACTGTCAGAGCTATTAGCTCAAGATGCCACATACCTGGGAGCTCCTGCAAGCCTACAGAAAGCCGCTGGATGTACCTTCTCATGCAAGACTATATATTTTAAGTATTCCTTGTTATTCCCAAAAGCAGGGCTGATTTCTATGGAAAAGTGAAGATAAGGGGCAGAAAGAGGAGCAGTCTTCAATGACATCTGAAAGTCAGGCTTTCCTTAGATAAAGGCAACCCAAAAAGAAGGGATTTGTCATTAGTACAAGTGCTCTGGAGCATGTCTGCTCCTTCAGCTAAGACTGGGGTTCACAGCTGTCTTTGACAATCAACTCTCGACTCTCTGCACAAGAAATTCTCCCAATAAAGGTGGGAATACGATGACTGTTAATACAAAGGACTGTCCACAGGCAGTGACAGCTAACTGCCAGAGACTTCTGCAGTGTCAGAAGTATGAGTTATCCCCCAGACCTTCTGGGTTTTCTGCAAACTAGAAACTTCCAGTGGTATTAGTGGATACTTAGAAACATGAGGTAGGATTCTTCTGAATCACAGCTGGCACTAACAAAAATGGGGAAATTTCTAAGCCCCATCAAGAGTTCAGCA